TTTCCTTATACGAAAAATATCTCTGATGATATTTTTCTTTACGAAAAATATCACTAATGATATTTTTCTATATACGAAAAATGTCACTGATGATATTTTTCCTTATACGAAAAATATCTCTGATGATATTTTTCTTTACGAAAAATATCACTGATGATATTTTTCCTCATACGAAAAATATCACTGATGATATTTTTCCTTATACGAAAAATGTCACTGAAGATATTTTTCTATACACGAAACAAATCACCGATGATATTTTTCTATATACGAAAAATATCACTGATGATATTTTTCTATACGTAAAATATCACTGATGATATTTTTCTATACGTAAAATATCACTGATGATATTTTTCCATATACGAAAAATATCACTGATTGTATTTTTCCTTATACGAAAAATGTCACTGATGATATTTTTCCTTATACGAAAAATATCACTGGTGATATTTTTCTATATACGAAAAATATCACTGATGATATTTTTCTATATACGAAAAATATCATTGATGATATTTTTTTATACGAAACTGATGAAATTTTTCTTTACAAAAAATATTACTGATGATATTTTTCTATACAAAAATATTACTGATAATAGTTTTCCTTATACGAAAAATATCACTGATGATATTTTTCCTTATACGAAAAATATCACTGATGATATTTTTCTATACGAAAAATATCACTGATTATATTTTTCTATGCAAAAAATATCACTGACAATGGTGAAATATTTCTATACACGAAAAATATCACTGATGATATTTTTCTATACGAAAAATATCACTGATGATATTTTTCTATACGGTTTTGATGGTGATTTCTAAGTTATGCTCATACACTCACTCTCAATTTTTTATGTACATCATTGCCAGTGAAGCTTAAACGGGAAATACCAGAGAGAGAAAGAGAGACTTGATGGAAAATATAATTTCTATGAAAGTTATTGAGGGCAGTCTGTTTAAAAAAAAGGATATATCATGTCAGAAATTTCCGATCAAAATTTTGGACATTTTAAAATATTTAAAAAAAATGTAAAAACCCAAAATATTAAAAAAAATGGAGTATATAATTTTTGCGAACCAAATTTTAGGCCACATTTATTTTACAACTTTTTCAAAGAATTTTACCTTTAAATATTGGAATTTAAGACCAAAATCTTTTAAAATTATTTTTCTAACGTTTAAAATATTAGGCCAAAGTTTTCCTATCAAAAATTGTAGAACTATTTTTATGACCACATGTTCTCTCATTTTCCGACCAATTTTTTTCAAAGCTAATTTTGATCGAATTTCCCCATTAAATATTGAAAAATGCGACAAAAAATAATTTTTTCCAGCCAAATTTTTTACAAATTCTTATCCACAAAAATAGTTTTAAATATATTTTGTATATAACATTCTGTACATTAAATTTTTGGACAATCTTCTTTACAACAGATTTCTTTTATACTTTTTAATTATTAAATTTGGATTTTCAAAATTTTCGACCATAATTTTGGAACAATTTACTATAAAATATGTACGATATCCGTAGTGATTATTTATTTATTTTATTATTAATATTAATATCTTTTTATTTTTGTTATTATTATTATTATTATTATTATTATTATTATTATTATTATTATTATTATTATTATTATTATTATTATTATTATTATTATTATTATTATTATTATTATTATTATTATTATTATTATTATTATTATTATTACAGTTATAATTATTATTATTGTTATTATTATTATTATTATTATTATTATTATTATTATTATTATTATTATTATTATTATTATTATTATTATTATTATTATTATTATTATTATTATTATTATTATTATTATTATTACTATTATTATTATTATTATTATTATTATTATTATTATTATTATTATTATTATTATTATTATTAGTATTATTATTATTATTATTATTATTATTATTATTATTATTATTATTATTATTATTATTATTATTATTATTATTATTATTATTATTATTATTATTATTATTATTATTATTATTATTATTATTATTATTATTATTATTATTATTATTATTATTATTGTTATTTTTTTCACATGCGAAAATTTTATCCAATCATTTTTATTTTACATTTCTAATATTTATTTAGATTCTAATATTTTTTTCTTTTTTTTTTTTTCTTTTTTAGATTATCTATTCAATATATTGTCAAAATGTCGACCAATTATTTTACCTTAAACATTGATTTTATGCCATTAAACCTGTCATGAACGTTTTTTAAAGTTATTTTTTCGACCAATTTTTGTCCAATTTTTCCGACAATTTTTATTTTTTGTCAAGTTTTTACCAAAATTGTTATTTTTTAAGCAACCAAAATTGTATTTTAGATATTCTTATTTATATTTTGCTTTTCAATATATTGCCAACATTTCGTTTAAATTTTTGTCGACATTTTTTTCCATTTTTTTTTTGCCTTAAATATTTTTTTTCCTCAAAAAAATTGTCGGGAACATTTTTTTATTTATTTAATTTTTTTATTTTTTATTATTATTATTCTTTTTTTGTTTTTTTTTTTTTTTTTGAAAAATTATTTTACCATTTTTCCGACCAAATTTTCTGATCCATTTTTTTTTTGCCTGTTCAATATATTGTCAACATTTGTTTCCATTTTTTCCAATTTTTTTTCCTTGAACATTGAATTTTTTCAACAAAAACTGTCGGGAACAGTTTCTTATTTATTTATTTTTTTTGTTATTATTATTTTTATTTATTTATTTTTTTTTTTTTTGAAAAATTATTTTACTATTTTTTTTCGGCCAATTTTTCTCATCCATTTTTTCTGAGCAATCCTTTTATAATTTTTTTACCTCAAATATTGGAATTTTGGTCATAAATGGTTGAGTGTATTTAACAAAAAATAGTACATCATTTGGGCGACCAAATAATATTGACCCAATTTCCTCGACCAATTTTTTTTGACAATTTTTTTTAACCAAATTGTTTATTATTTTTTCTACAAAAAATCTATGTATTCAAATATTGTTATTTCATGTTTTTTTGGCTAGAGCAAAATTGGTTTGAAAAATGTAACATTTTTTTTCTTAATTGAAAAAACGGAAACCTGCAGGTGTCCAAAATTTCTCACCTGTAGTAATTTGAGGGTTGTTGATTACTCAAAGTCAAGTGTGCGTATTTGTGTGGAGGGGGAGTTAAAAATAAAAAAATATTGAATTTGTTGTTAAATTTCATTTTTGTTTCCCCCTATGTCTATCTTGTGATAAGCAAAGGCCATGTTAAACATTATTGAGAATAGCGTGTACTACACCAGACATTAGCTCATTAACGTTTGTTAATTTATTGAAAACATTCGCTTCATTTTTTTTTTTTTCAAAAATTTTGCCTTATTATGTTTATGATTTTGGCATTACAAATATTTTGACCTACACCAAAGAAATTTGTTTTTTGAAAGAAGAAGTTTTATTTTCATAAAAAATTACCTGATGATAAGTGTGCTGTCATTGCTTTAAGAGCTTTTTTCAAGCCAATCAATTGAAAAAAGTAATGGATTAATGGACCGAAATAATTGCATTAATTAATTACATAAATATTCAATAATCATTTTTTGAGACACAGTTTTGACAGGTAATTCAATTATTTTTAAATCCCACGTTAAGAGTTTCAAAATTATTGAAAAATGACCACATTCAGCAAGAACTTTAAGAAAATGGTTAAAAAAAATCAGATTTCCTCTAGAATTTTAAAAATGACGAACTTTGAATAACCTCCACCATTCGGAACGAATTTGGAAATAAACTCCGTTAAAAATTCAAATAAATTCGATGAGTATTGCACCTAAAATCGCTAAAATTCCGAATATAAGGAGGTACTTATATATGGAGCCTATACGAAGACCTGGACCTGCACAAACAATTTTCTGTCATAGGCATAGGCTTCATTACGAACTTCAAATACCAAATTTGAAACAATTTCCATGAATAATGTCGCTAAAATCATCAAAACATTGAATATTGAGAGGTACCGATATATGGGGGCTATACGAAGACGTGGACCTGCACAGACAATTTTCTGCCTTAGGCTGAAGTATCCATTTCGAACATCACATACCAACTTTGAAACAATTCCGGTAAAGAATGTCGCTAAAATCAACAAAATACCGAATATAGGGAGGTACTGTTATATGGGGGCTATACGAAGACCTGGACCTACACAGACAATTTTCTGTCTTAGGCTGTAGTATTTATTTCGAACTTCAAATAGCAAATTTGAAACAATTCCATTGAATAATGGCGCTAAAATTATCAAAATACCGAATATTGGGAGGTACCGTTATATGGGGGCTATACGAAGACCTGGACCTGCACAGACAATTTTCTTTCTAAGGCTGTTGTATCCATTACGAACTTCAAATGCCAAATTTGAAACTACTCGGGTGAATAATGACGCTAAAATCATCAAAATACCGAATATTGGGAGGTAGTATTATATGGGGGCTATACGAAGACGTGGACCTGCACAGACAATTTTCTGTCTCAGGCTGTAGTATCCATTTCGAACTTCAAATACCAAATTTGAAACAATTCCGGTGAATAATGTCGCTAAAATCATCAAAATACCGAATATCGGGAGGTACTGTTATATGGGGGCTATATGCAAACGTGGACCTACATGTCCCATTTACGAACTTATCCTGCCTACTGGCAAAATAAACATGTGTGCAAGATTTTAGCCTTCTATCTCAATTCGTTCGGCAGAAAAAATGAGTATTTCGAGGAGGAGGGGTGGTGGGTATAAAAATATTTAAATATTTTTTTGAATAATTTTTTATTTTTCAAAAAACACTTATTTTTGTTAAATAGCTTTTTTTTTTTTTTAAATTACAGTATAAAAATATGGCTTAAATAAAAAATACGCCTTTGGCCCAACAACATCCTCATCTAACTTCCCTTCCTCAAACCCCCGCCAAAAACCTCATGGCTTTCCCCTTACAAAATTCGGCTGGGGCTGTTGTTGCCCCTGCGGTGAGGGGACGGGAATATATTCATTCATATTCAAACTCAAACCATTCAAAGTTTGGCGATCTTTTGTCTCACGATTGGTGCGATAATTCTGCTTATAAGGCTGCAAGTGGGCTGCATACGACTGTATACCATAGGCGGGTAGGGGTTGTGAGGGTACCTCCACCAGGGGGGTGGGAGCTGGTGGTGGCATATTTACTGGCATCGCGGATAGCATGGTGGTTGGCCTCGAAGAGTAGTCAAAGGAATGGGTGGGAGCGGAGAGAGCCGGGCCATATGCCGCCGAGGAGGAGGGACCCAAATAGGGGCCAATTGGTACCATTAACTGTAAATATTGGACCCCACCATCATTAATGGTCTGGGGTAAATATTGCATTAAAACGGGGGAGGGACCACCCCCACCAGCGGAACCCATAAAATTGGGCCCAATAATCTCCGGGGCAATGCTGTTGCCATTTTGTATGGGGGTAAAATTGGTCTCCACATCGGGCAGTTTGTAGGATGGCTTAAACTCTTCATTGTTGTTGTTGTTGTTGTTGTTGTTATTGTTGTTGTTGTTATTATTATTGTTGTTGTTTTGATTAATGATATCATAATTTGTGGCAAAAACACTCAGCGTATTCAAGTGGGCATCGGATGGCTTGTGGTGATGTTGTTGCTGGTGCTGCTGTTGTTGTTGTAGATTATTTGTCTTGACCGTTTTACTATTGATTTCGGGATTCGAAACTGGTCCGCCGAAAATGTTTGGCGGCAATGCCAACAAGAGCAAAAGCAATTGATGCCAATAGTGCTTCAGGTACATTGCGGAGGGGATTATCTTTTTCGAATCTGAAAATGAAAAAAAAAAAACACAAAATGTTACAAAATAATTGGAATCAATCAAATGATAACCGAAAGATGTCTATTTGAGGGCCTAAAAATTAGCCCACTATTTTAAGTGGTGTCGAGTGGTTTCAATCATAAGTGTTTTGAAAATGTTTCAATTTCAAGTGATTTATTTTCTTTCAATTTTTGGGTTAAATTCATTAAGCGCCATTATGGATTAAATGATCATCGACTTAATTGACCTTGACGTGTGGATATCAACAATAATAAAATTGAAATATAGACATGATAATAAATCGATTTCAAATTTGGCCAAAAACTTGAAAAGAGGAAATATATATTCGATATAACCTCTGGAGAGTATTTTTGAAAATCCCAGGATTATAGTTCTGAAATTAGTAGTAAAACCTTAAAAATACAGGATAATTAAAAAATACAGGATTATAGTTCTTAGAGAAAGGAAATAAAGAAAAAAAGTCAATTAATTAATACTTTAATATTTAATTAACTAAATAAATAAAAATTTTGAATTAAATTTTTTATAATTTTTTTATGATTTTTTCCTCCTAAAATACTAGAATTTGAGACCAAACAATTTTTGAACTTAATTTTCGAGTATCAGATTTTTTCGACCAATTTTTCTAACCCAATTTTAGACCAATTTTTTTCTACCAAATTTTTTAATGCATTTTCTACAAATAAAAATATAGTTAATTATTTAATACATTAATATTATTAATACATTAAAAATTAAATTTTTAAATTTAATTTTTCAAACATTTTTTTTATAAATTTTTAAACATTAAATTCTATAATTTGAGTAAAAAAATTTTTTTAAACATATTTTTGGGTAATAAATTTTTTCGACCAATTTTTGAAGCAATTTTTAAATACATTTTTACAATTAAATATTGGAATTTGCGGCCAAAAACTTTTTGTATATAACATTTGCGACCAAATATTTTTATAACAAAATTTTCCCAACTATTTTTTCATACATGTTTTATTAATAAATTTAGGAATTATTATATTATATTTTGGAATTATATTTCCAAATTCATTTGGAAATATTTTATACAGTCATTAGGGATTAAATTATCGTAGTCTTAATTGACCTTGAAATTTCAAATTATGACAAAAAATGAGAAGAGAAAATATATATTTTCGATAGAACCCCTGGAGAGTTTCTTTTGAAAATCCCAGGATTATAGTTCTGAAATTGGTAGTAAAACCTTAAAAATACAGGATAATTAAAAAATGCAGGATTATAGCTCTTAGAGAATGGAAATAAAGAAAAAAAGTTAATTAAATTATACATTAATAATTAATTAACTAAATAAATAAAAGTTTTAAATTTAATTTTTTATAAATTTTTTTATGATTTTTTCATTATAAAATACTAGAATTTGAGACCAAAAAATTTTTGAACATAATTTTGAGTAGCAAATTTTTCCGACCATTTTTTTAACCCAATTTTAGACCAATATTTTTTCTACCAAATTTTTATTTACATTTTTTACAATTAAATATACATAATTAATAATTAATTAATACATTAATAATTAAATTTTTAAATTTAATTTTTTAAAACTTTTTTTTTTTATAAATTTTTCATCAATTTAAGTCCAAAACATTTTTTGAAAATATTTTTGGTTAACAAATTGTTTTCGACCAATTTTTCCAACCAAATTTAGGACCAAATTTTAAATACATTTTTACAATTAAATATTGGAATTTGCCGCCAAAAACATTTTGTTGATAACTTTTGCGACCAAATATTTTTATAACAAAATTTTCCCAACAATATTTCATTAATAAAATTGTGAATTTGTAACCAAATTCATTTGGAATATTTTATACAGTCATTAGGGATTAAAGTGTCGTAGTCTTAATTGACCTTGAGATTTGAAATTAAGACAAAAAATTGAAAAGTGAAAATATATATTTTCGATAGAACCCCTGGAGAGTTTCTTTTGAAAATCCCAGGATTATAATTCTGAAATTAATAGTAAAACCTTTAAAATAAATGATTATCAAATATGCAAGATCAATGCTCGTAGAAAATAGAAATAAATAATTAAATAATAATTAATAAATAGAAATTAAAAATTAATTAAATGAAATTAATTAACTAAGAAAATAAAAAAAGCTAATACATTAGCAAATATATTAATAATAATAATAATAATAATAATAATAATAATATAATAATAATAATAATAATAATAATAATAATAATAATAATAATAATAATAATAATAATAATAATAATAATAATAATAATAATAATAATATAATAATAATAATAATAATAATAATAATAATAATAATAATAATAATAATAATAATACTAATAATAATAATAATAATAATAATACTAATAATAATAATAATAATAATAATAATAATAATAATAATAATAATAATAATAATAATAATAATAATAATAATAATAATAATAATAATAATAATAATATAATAATAATAATCAATAATAATAATAATAATAATAATAATATACTAATAATATAATACTAATAATAATAATAATAATAATAATAATAATAATAATAATAATAATAATAATAATAATAATAATAATAATAATAATAAATAATAATAATAATACTAATAATAATAATAATAATAATATAATAATAATAATATAATAATAATAATAATATATAATAATAATAATAATAATAATAATAATAATAATAATAATATAATAATAATAATAATAATAATAATAATAATAATACATAATCATAATAATAATAATAATAATAATAATAATAATAATAACAATAATAATAATAATAATAATAATAATAATAATAATAATAATAATAATGATAATAATAATAATAATAATAATATAATAATAATAATAATAATAATAATAATAATAATAATAATAATAATAATAATAATAATAATAATAATAATAATAATAATAATAATAATAATAATAATAATAATAATAATAGTAATAAATTCACATTTTTTCAAAAACACACTTGAAAAATAATATAAATCAACAATCTGATACTCCTTTAAAAAATTAAAAAAAAAACTATTCTTAAGAAAATGTTTAAAAAATAATGGAAAATTCCGGAAAATATATAAGACTCCAAAAAATTTGAAAAACATTAAAAAAAGAATCAATAAATAAAAAACTCTTGTAAAAGTCCTTTTGAAAAAAAATGTTGTGAAAATCTCAAAAAGTAATTTTTTTTTAAATAAATTTTAAAATTTTTGAAACAAAAAAATGTTTGAGATAATCCATCAAAGTGCCTACAAAGTATTTATGAAAATCAACCACAAATTTATTAAAAATCGAAAAAAAATCTTGAAAAAATTAAAAATAAAAAAATAGAACAGTGTTGGCATGTTTGTTCGGGTTACCATAGTATTTTGTTGTTGCAAAATGGTCAGGCTTAATCCCATAATTGTTGTTGTTTTTATAAAAACAACGTTTGTTTATTAGTGGAGACCGATGGTAATGTTTACCAGGGGCTAAAGCAGGGAATACCTAAGAGCCAGCAATCATCATCTGTGCCCTTGTTTTTCGTACACCACTAATAAACAAACGTTGTTTTTATAAAAACAACAATAATGGGATTTAGCCTGACCATTTTGCAACAATAAACAATTTTTAATTTAAAAATCAATAATTATTGCAAAAACTCTTTAAAATTTTTTTTAGCAAGAAAGCCATGAAATTTTCAAGAAATTTCAGAAAAGTGGCCAAAAAATTATGGATTATAGCCCTTGAAGTCCGTGCCAAAAAATATTGAGAATATTGAAATTGATAGTCAAATTTTATAAATTAGCGCCTTGATGTATGCTACACTTTTTTGTCAAGGTAAAGGAATCACAAGATGAAAATTAAAAATACGATTATAAGTCCAAAGAGGATGTCGAAATGCTGATGCATTCTACTCAAAAAATTTTTTTTTTTTTGTTTTTTAACATGAAAAGACAATTAGAAAAATCATTTGTAACCCCTTGAAAAAAAAATTGGAAAAAAAAACTGGAAAAATGTACTCAGAAATGCTGTATTTTTGATGTGGCAATCTTCACTATACTGGGTAAAGGAATAAGGCTGGAATCCCGAAATTTGTTGTTTGTTGGTGTCTGCGGTTAAGATATGGGGGTGGTTTTAAAAATGTGTCCTATATTTGTACGAAAACTACTTAATGACATTAAATTTGGTATTGGGTAAAGGAATAAGGCTGGAATCCCGAAATTTTTATTTGGGTCTCTATTGGTGTCTCTGGTTAAGATATGGGGGTGCTTTTAAAAATGTGTCCTATATTTGTACGAAAGCTACTAACACTAACTTTGGTATTGGGTAAAGGAGTAAGGCTGGAATCCCGAAATTTGCTATTTAGGGCTCTGTTGGTGTATGTGGTTAAGATATGGATGTCGTTTTGGAAATGCATCCTATATTTGTACGAAAACTACATAATAACACTAAATTTGGTATTGCGTGAAGGTATAAGGCTGGAATCCCGAAATTTGTTATTTAGATCTCTGTAGGTGTTTGTGATTAAGATATGGAATCGGTTTTGGAAATGCGTCCTAATTTGCATTTGAAACTATGTCATAGAGCACTGCTCAGATATTACCCTTAACTTTTTGACCAGGGACATTTGTCCAATATTTACGCACTCTATCGTGCTATAAATTGTTGTGATCCATTTTACAGCTAATTAATATCCAATGGTCAGCCAAAACGCTAGACTTCTTCCCTGGTTTCAATTTTTCCTTTGGTTTGAATTGTGTGATCAGGAAAAATTTTCTGTTTTTAATTCATTTGAACCCCTAATTATTTTGCGATCATCTCCAAATGCAAGAGACCCCTCTGTATCTCCAAATTTGGACATATCTATATGATATGCTTGTCTACGATATTTGGCAGCATAAAAAAGCCAGATATTCTCCTTTTGTGTATTTTGGATTTTGCCTGTAAGTTATGATGATCTATAATTGCGACCTGTAGAGCAACTGCAAAATTAGGAAAATTTTTTGGTCCATTTCAACTCCTAAATATAATGCGATCATCTCCAAAAGCAATAGGCTTCAATTCTGACCATAACATGGATAGACGGACGGACGGACATACATAGCTAGATCGATTCAGCTCGGCGAGATAGGAAGATCCATATATAGTTTCCAATGTCGGAAACCCATATTTCGAGGAGTTACATACTTTTTGGTAGAATCGAACTCATAATACCCCCAACACATAGCGAAGTAGGGTATAAAAATTCACTATCTGCGAGTCCTTGGAAACTTATATTCTCAAAATACTACGATTTCTCAATAAAAATTAAAATTATTGAGAAAGCCCTGGAAGAATATTCATAACAAACTCACGACTATAAATCAGCAAAGTCCTGAAAAAAAATATTGTTTGTAATTTCACGATCATAGCTCCTGACAAGGTTATCTGCTTGTGGGCCAAAAACAAAAAAACATTTAAAAAAATATACTTTAAAAAACCGAGATTTTCTATTTTCCCATTTGCAAAGTGTTGTCTGAAAAAATCCAAGATTATGGGTCTTCGAAATAATACCCTTGAAAATTAATCTCCAATAATTGCAAGATTGTTGGTACGTATTTATTTATTTTTTATTTTTTTATTTATTTATTTTTTGGTTTCTAGCTTATGTTTATATTGGATTTTTTATTCGCATATATTTAAAAGTTTTTTCTGTGGGTTTTTGGGGGTTATTCGGAGATATTTTAAAGTTTTCTCTTTGGGGTCACAGTTTCATCCACTGACATATTTTTATTTATTTATTTTTTTTTTTTTTTTTGGAATTTCTTTAATTTCCACTTGAATCATTTTCCATAGCACTGTGTCATATTTAATTAGTTTATTATTTTTTTCAAAAACAATTTTTGTAAATATTTTCAAAATTAACTTTGTTCACCTTTTCTGTGTAAATATTTGCACTCTTTAATCCTTTTGTTGGCCTTGGACTGGCTGGTCGTGGCAGTGGCTGCTACACGTTTGAAATACGAATTTTCTTTAACACATCCAACAACTTGACAAGAGCTTTTATAAGGCCGACTGGAACAAGTGGAACGGCTGGCTACCAGCGGCAGTCTCATTTTTTTTTTTTTTTGGTGGCTGCCACAACGCCAGCAGCATAACCATGAATTTACAAAACAATTTTCCTTTAAAAGCAAAACGTGAAGCTTTGCCAACATTTTTCCACAAACCAAAGAAATTGAAAGTGTGTTGACTTGTTACAAAAAAAAAAAAACAACAACAAAACTTGTCTGGCCTCAAACTTGGAGCAAAGGCAGGAGGTCGGTCATTTACGGGATTTTTTTGTGACAAATTAAATCAAAATTTTGAACAAATTTTGGAGGTCAATGTTAGTTAGGGTTGGTATTTTTTTAATAACAAAAAATTTGATTTTTGGCGGGACTTCTGTAACCACCAAGGAGGGGTCGTAAAACCCGTCCTGCCAGTTTTTGATAACAAAAATAATTGTATCAAAAAAATGCATAATTTGTTCCGGAAAATTCAACAAGTTCAATGCACGTGACCATCAACTGGTTTTTCTTGTTACCATTATTAACAATTTGTATAAAAGTGTTTTTTTTTTCCTTTTTTTGTTTTGACCAGTATTTAAGCCAACAAATGCGTGTTTGAAGTTTTTTTGTTTTTTTTTTTTTTTATTTTTTTATTTTTTTTTATTTCATTTTTTTTTTTTGTAGACAGCCCATCATGTTTTTCAAATACCAGACAATTTCTTCAAAGAGAGTGATTATTATATCAACTAGCTTCCCCCAATACATTTTTGATACCATTTTCCAAATCGAAAAAAAACGACAGAGATGGAGAAGAAAAAATCAGTTTTTCTCATTTTCTTGTTAACAATTGTTGTAATTTATTAAATAGTTTCCGCCGCAGGCCGCTGATGCCATTAAGAGATGTTTTTTATCTGTTTAACTTAGTTATGAAATAATTTTGCAATTGTTGATTAATCCATCACACATATGGCCACAGCAACTGGTGCAGATTAGTTCATGAATGGCATGTGAATTAATTTGTTTCTACGGAAGGATGTTAACACGGAAATGGGGATGGATGTTTTAATGGGTTATGGGCCATAACAGAAAGAGATAAAGAGAAAATTCTCTTAATTCTCTGAGAGAAAATATTTTGTTCCGTCATAATTTTTTTCAATTTTCAATAATTGTTTCTAAAAAATAATTTTTCAGCTAATTTTGATCATATTTTTCTTTAAAACTGACTAAAAATAGGTAAAAATACAACGCAAGAAAAAATTATTTCAAACTTCTCTTTTGGGAATTCTCTTTCATTGTTTTGCCCATCGATGATTATGGGCCGTTACAGAAAGAGATTCTCTTTATTTTCAAAAAGAAGAGTTTGCGTTCACACCATGAGAATAACTTTTGTTACTCTGAGAGACCAACACTTTTTTGTAAAGGGATATCCATTTTAAACACTCTTTTTAAACGGGATCTTAATTTTCTCAGAGCGGAGTTAATCAAAGAATAAGAGAGACCCAAATGAATGTCATTACGTTTCATGACATATTTAAATCAGAGCTGAGCAAATAATATAAAGAGGTCTTTTTAAGAGAAAAGAAAAATTTTATTATATTTTACAATTTATTTCAACTTTTTAAAATTAATTTTTAAAAGATTTGAATGAGTAATACCTAGACATTGATTGCTTGAGTGTTTAACAAAAATTAAGAGAAATTGGGTGCCTGCGCTAGAACGCCTTCTAGCTCAGCATTGATTTAAGACAAAATAGTACTAAAAGTACAAGTACTTGTATTAGCGAGCCGATTTTGTTCATCTTTACAGAAAATATATCAAATTTTGACTATCTTCGCTTCACAAGGAATTTTTTTATACCCTCCACCATTCTATGGAGGAAATATTAGCGTTGTCATTCCGTTTATAACTCATTGACATATTCATATTAGGCCCTACAAAATATATATATATATATATATATATTCTGGATCAGCGTAAAATTCTAAGACGACCTAGCGATGACCGTCTGTCTGTCTTTCTGTTGTAATCACGCTATCTTTCGATCGAATTTAGATAGAAGGCTAAAATTTTGCATAGTTTACAAGTAGGCAGTATAATTTCCTTATTGGGCCATGTCGGTCCACGTTTTCGTATAGCACCCATATGACTGTACCACCCGATATTCCGTATTTTCTTGATTTTAGCGACATCATTTACCAGAACTATTTCAAATTTGTTATTTGAAGTTCGCAATTGGTTCTACAGCCTATGACAAAAATTAGTGTATCTTCGTCTTCGTATTGTCCCCATTTAAGGGTACTTCCCGATAGTCGGTATTTTGATGATTTCAGCAACATTAGTTACCGGAATCGTTTCAAATTTCGTATTGGAAGATCTTAATGGGTATTACAACCTACGGGAAAAAATGTCATCTCCGTTTAGTCCCCATATAACGGTTTCCAATTAAGTGATAGTTTTCAGATTTTTTTTTTTTTTTTGAAACATTTCAAGTACCTTCCAAATGGTGGAGGGAGTCAAAAATTCGGCCCAGCCCATTTTTAAAAAATTGACTCTTTGTGGGCCAGGTACCTGGGGAAGTGAGTTCATATTGTTAATTTTTAGCAGCTGATTTTGGTAATATGTGCCCTATATGTAACCGGGGGGTCAAAATTTTGAATAATTATAAGACTTATAAAATGTGAAATAAGTGTCCGACTTCCTTCATATTTTGCACATCTTACCATTTCTATCAATACAAGATCTGGTATAAAGATGGAATATATCGGAACACTTCTTGTGGTACCTCCCCCACAACGGGTCCAAATTTGGAATAATTATATCTCCTTCGTAAAATGCCAGAAAAACATCCAATTCTCTTTAAACATCACACATCTAAATGTTTCCACTAACACAAAATCAGGTGTAAAGAAATCGGACTACCCGTTCTTGTACCTCCCCCTTAAAATTGTTAAAATTTTGAATGGCCAAAACGCTCATAAAATTGAAAATAGCATCAAATTTTTTTCAATATTCACAAATATCAAAATTTCTACTAAAACAAGATTAGGTGTGAAGATGAATGATTATGTCGGACCACTCCTTTTAATAATATGTCGACATTTTGAATAATCATAACGCATGTCAAAATATATTAAAATATACGGGCATTGGCTGAGGGTATAAATCTGTAGGCAAAACCGACTGATACTTTGGAATTTCTTTTATATTTCCGTAACCAAATTGACTCAGAAAATATTGATGTGTTAAGAATGTGAGATCTTCATTAATTTCATACACTGCATCCTTGTCATAAGGGGTTAATTTTGGCCACCCAAAATCTTTTGCCTCTCTATGTAAATATGGAGGAGCAAATCTACATTTAATTAAGGCATCCTGTTCCTACCTTGATAATCCACCTAATTTTTATTAACATATTGATGATTTTGATGTTTTAAATTGTTTTTATTTGCTTTATATGCCTTTCAATAGCTAACTCACAAATAGTAAGAGAACGCCTAAAAGTATGCTAAGGATTTTACAACTTAGCGACAGACTGTTTCATTAAATTGGTATATCAAGTAAGTGTCAAGAGACTTTGCTTTTTTAAAGGTTTATTAAATAAAATTGTGTGAAAATTTGAAAATTCGGAAATAGGTCACATCAGGGGGATTAAAGCGTTATGTCATTGTCTTATAGGAAATTACAAAAAATTAGTTTTAAATATTTTCTTTTCATGGTTATGATTTTTTTTTTCATTTTCGAAGAAGGAAAGAGGGAACGATAAACAAATATATTAAAGCAAGGTGTATTAACAAGGTTATCCAGTAAGGTCATATGTTCTCATATTTTCACATACCCTCCACCATAGAATGGAGGGTATATTAACTTTGTCTTTCCGTTTGTAACACCTCGAAATATACATTTTAGACCCCACAAAATATGTATATTCTTGATCAGCATAAAATTCTATGTCGATTTAGCGATGTCGGTCCGTCCGTCTGTCCGTCTATGGACATCACTCTAGCTTCCGAACGAATTGAAATAGATTGATAAAATTTTACTTAAATGTATGTTATGTCCGCAGGACTTTTGGTATTGAAAATGGGCCATGTAGGCTCACGTCTTCGTATAGCCCCCATATAACAATACCTCCCGATATTCGGTATTTTAATAATGTTAACGACATTTCTGAGTTGATTTATGCATGTCAGTCAGTCTGTCCGTCCGTATGTATTCTTGTGAACAAAATGCAGGTCGCATTTATAATTCGATTGAGATGAAATTTTCCAAATAACATTTGTTTGTCCCAAGGACGAACCCTATTGAAATTAGGGATAATCGGTCAAAATTTAGATATAGCTCCCATATATATCTTCATCCGATTTGCCTTTTATTATGCACCAAACGAGTAATATCAGACCGAATAGTATGGAATTTTGCTCATACAACCAAATTAGGCCTAAAAATAAGTATGCCAAATTTGATCGAAATCGGTTCAGATATAGCTATAGCTCCCATATATATTGTTCATCCGATTTGTTATTTTTGTCCACCGCAGCCGTAATATGCACTATGCAACAACAATATTTGGGGAAACAGATCAAATACAGCTCAGAAATACATTTGCTAAATTTTATGGAGATCGGTTCAGATTTGGATAGAGCTTCCATATATAACTTCGTCCGATTTACATTTGATTGTGCACCAAACGTCTAATATTTGCCCAAATTGGATGAAATTTGGCACTTACGACCGAATTGAGCCTAGAAGCTAGTATGTTAAATTTGGTGAAGATCGGCCCAGATATAGCTATAGCTCCCATATATATTATTCATCCGATTTTTTATATTTGTTACCCACAACCGTAATATGCACTCCGTAACAACGATATTCAGGGAAATATATCAAATACAGCTCAAAAATATCTTTGCCAAATTTTATCGAGATCGGTTCCGATTTGGAATTTGATAGCTCCCATATATATCTTTATCCGATTTCAAATTAATTGTGCACCAAATGGGCAATACAAGTTCGATACAAATGCTTCGGCATATTTAGTCCTTTGAACTTTAAATTATAATTATAATCAT